CCGGTTCACCGCCCGCCACTTTGCATCCTCGGGAACGGGCGGCGGGAGGCTCGCACGTCTCTCATCCCCTGTTGGAACGGCGAACTCAAGTAAGGGAACGGAAAACGGTGAGGAACGAAGAGGCCTCGGGGGCCGCAGCAGCGCGTGACTTACCAGCGAGAGGTACCCCTAAGACGGGCACATCGCGATAGGGGTTAGACCACCGCTCTTCAGCCGCCCCTCCACCGTCTCCCTCGCCCGCCGTAGAATCTCCTCATCGGGGAGGGGGACGGCGGACATCCAGATGCCCTCGATCGGCTCATCCGGTCTCATGTCGAATAGGCACCACCGCCGAGCCATCAGCGGCAACACCCTCCGGCGGTGGAAGGCAGCCACGACCACAGCCGCCGTAAGGCCGCAGTTCCGCTGCTTCTCCAGGCCCTCCAGGAGCGGCTTCAGCTTGGGCTGATCCTCCCTCGGAACACCATACCTCCACTTCTCCGGACAGTCCTCCACGATCCACCCGGTATAGGGGGGAAGTCCGCTGTCATCGTTGCGGAGGTAGAACCAGCTTGTGTACCAGCGGCGATTGGTTGACGCGAGCTGGGCCAAAATGTAAAGGTGCTGCCGGTCTTGGCGCACCTGAAGAGTGCAGCCACCAGCCCTCATCGTCTTCCTCGTACCTGTCATGCCTGTCGGCTTGGTGGTATGCCCCGCCCAGAAGAGATGGAGCCATAGCTCCCAATGGGGGGCAATGCCCAAGTACCCCTCGCAGATGGTGACAAAGATGGCCGCCTGCGCGATGGAGTTGGGGTTGAAGTTGTGCAGCTCCACGCCGTAGTAATGTGGGAGCGCCCGCATGAATCGGTCCGCCGTCAGCCCGAGACCACGCTCGTGGAAAGACACGAAGCTCACGACGTACCCTTTGCGTGGCCTCGGCTCCGGCTCGCCCGACGGAGCAATCCACTCTGGCCTATCGGGGTCGATGATCGGGCGGAGAAGGCCGTCATCGACGAGCGACCGCAGCATCTCCATGGACACGTTGGACGGATCCCAAGGATCCGCCGGGAGGATGACAGGGCCGTCGGCCATTGTGCGGTGGAGGATGCTGCTACGGCGGTAAATCTCTAAATCTCTCTCTCTCTAAATCTCTCTCTCTCTCTCGCCCTTCTCCCTTCTTCTCCCCGGTGCTCTCTGATCCTAGCAATGGCTCGAGGGCAGCAAAAGTGAATGCAGGCAAGGTAAGGAGGGGAGGGGCGAGGCTCATTGCATATTTATGCAGGAAGGGGACGAAACGGATGGGCGACGAAATCGGGGAAGTTTCCCTCAAATCCGGCACAGATAATCCAGATCCGATTTAACCGCCCACGCGCCCACCTTTTCCTCATTAATCGCACGAACAGTTATGTCCCGTCCGCTGACACCACGTCGCATCCAACCGCAGCAACAGCAGGCCCTAAAAAATTGCCTCAAAAGGCGTGCCCGCCGTTGTCGGCCGATGGGAGGGGAATATCCCCCCACCCGATTCCTTTCAGACTAAGGAACTGGGCGCCGAGCCCGTTACGGTCCAGGGGTTCGAAGGCTGGGCCCCCGAGGGTCTCGACAGCCGCCCTAGGACAACAGAGTCAGGGACAACTATGGGCGAGCCCGTACATGGCCGAGGCCCGAGCAAGCGATCGCTCGGGATGCCCTAAGTCATGTCCGAGACTAGTAGGGACGTCTCCGAATGGGATCCCACCGTAGAGAGGCGCCGAGCTCTCGGGGCCAATCGAATGGCCCTAGGACCCACTAGAGAAGCCCTCTGGTACTTTTGGAGTGCGTCTCTGGACCACTAGCCGACCCCTATCGAATGGGTTAAGAGCCTCCACTCGGACTTACCCGATAACAGCTCACCGGAAGTGTCACCGCTCGCGCCCACCGAGGGTAGCCTGACATATTCCACCACTCCTTCCGAACGAAAAGGATGCGCGAGGGTCTCACAAAAAGCAAGGGGAACTCCTGATCGCCCTCTCGCTCCGTGCAGAGGCTCGGGGGCTCTTCCTGCAACCTTGCCGAGACCCAGCGACCCAGGCTCGCACGCGAGGGCTCGGCAAACAACCCCTCCTTCCGAACAAAAAGGATGCGCGAGGGTCGCACAAAAAGCCAGGGGAACTCCTGACCGTCCTCTCGCTCCGTGCGGAGGCTCAGAAAAACACGATAAAAAGGGCACCGAGCCCGTTACAATCCAGGGGTTCGAAGGCTGGGCCCCCCAAAGGTTTCGACAGCCACCCTAGGACAAATAGAGTCAGGGATGACTGTGGGCAAGCCCGTACATGGCCAATGTCCAAGCAAGCAAGTGCTTGGGAAGCCCTAAGTCATGTTCGAGACCGACAGGGAGGTCTCCGAATGGGATCCCACCGTAGGGAGGCATCGAGCCCCCGGGGCCTATCGAACGACCCTAGGACCCACTAGAGAAGCCCTCTGGTACTTTTCGAGTGTGTCTCTGGACCGCTAGCCGACTCGTATCGAATGGGGCACGGGCCTCCACTTGGACTGACCCGATAACAGCTCACCAGAGATGTCACTGCTCGTGCCCACCGAGGGTAGCCTGACATGTTCCACCCCTCCTTCCGAGCGAAAAGGATGCGCGAGGGCCGCCAAAAAAGACAGGGAACCCACTGATCGCCCTCTCGCTCAGTATACAGGCTTGGGGGCTCTTCCTGCAACTAAGCCAAGGTCCAGCGACCCGAACTCATACTCATGGGCCCGACAAACACGATAAAACTCCTTACTCAACAGAGAAAAAGCCCCTAGAGGAGTAAATCCACTCCTCTAGGGCCTCGGGGGCTACACCCGGTGGGTGCGCTCGCGCGCACCCACCGGAACCACGAGTACAAAACACAATCCTGACGGGAGCCGCTGCAAGCTAGAATCTCGACAAAGCCTCAGGGAGAATGCTCGCACTCTCCCCAAGGCTCGGGGGCTACTGTCGGATACCATAAAAAGGGGTACCCTAAGCAAGAACTGAAAAGATTGCTTAGATCTTGCCAATATCAAAGCCAGAGGACAACCACGAGGTCTCGGCTGATTCTCCGATTTGCCTGAGGCCCGCACCGCAAAGGCCTCGGACGAAAGGCCGACTCTCCGCCTTGCCGAGGCCCTCCTGCCGAGGCCCTCTCGCCCGAGACCCCGCCCTGCTAGGCCTCGGACGAAGTACCGATTCTCCGACTCGCTCGAGGCCGGCTCGGCAACAACTTCGTCGCCGTCGTCTCGACCGACTTCTCCGACAAAACGTCATGCGTCCAACCACTCCTGCAATGTCAGCCGCACGTTGATGCAGTGCAGCAGAGCGGCCGACGGGATGGGAGACAGGACTGAGCAGGGGTTACCGGCCACTGTGCTCATCACTGCGCCTATGACTGGCGCTCGTACTGCACTGTGCCACCTAATTCCTGCTCCAGGAACAGCGCGGTGTGGGGAGTCAAGTCCGGGTCAGTATAGCCTCGGAATCAGTGTATAGGACCAACTACTCCCTCCAAGCCTCGGCAATCCACTTCAGGGTCTCGACAGCCTTGGGATTTGCGCCCGCCGAGCCCCCACGATGGCTCGGCCTCGGCACCAACTGAGCCTCGGCTTTTTACACTGTGAACGTACAGCGACCGGCACGTCGTCGGCCATGCCCTACGCCAAGCTATCACTGGAGCTCCCACGTCGCACAAGATCGGGTGTGACCGGCGCGTTGCTCCAGTGTATTAAGGACAAGACCACTCCGTTGACCATGCCGCCACAGTAGCAAGCTACAGTACTTAGACACGCCACCTCCGCTCACAAGACGCTGCATAGCGAACACATGTATCACCCCTATCCCCCCTTCAACTATAAAAGGAGAGGCCGGGGCCGTTTCTAGAAAAAAGATAGACGAACTCACGCATAGGCTCACGTAGATCCAGACACACGCTTCCCCGCTACCTGAGAGCAATGTCTCAAGCAGCCCGCACCGCTCCATGCAGAGACCTGGGACTAGCTCCCTCTCTCGCCCAGCTTGTAACCCCCTACTACAAGCACTTCGGTGCAAGGAATACAAGATCGATCTCTCAGACTGGACGTAGGGCACCGATTGCTTGAACCAGTATAAATCTTGTGTCTCTTTGCATCACCATCCGGGATTAGGGGCACGCAGTCAAATTCACTAGTTGGTTGAGGATCCCCCGGTCCAAAAACACCGACAACCGGTTTGATCCATGATTCTTTAATGGTATCCAGGAAACCTGGTCTATGCGCCCAGTGAGACTCAAATCTAAAACCTCTGTAAAATCTAGGCTAACATCCCCTTGTAAAAATAAAGCGCTATGGCCCGAGCCGAGTGAGGCCAACGCTCGGAGGTCGGTTCTTGGAAACAATTCAAGCCAATCCGCGGATGCAAAGAAATGGTCAATTCTTGTCATTGTTGGAGATTGTTGATCGTTGCACCATGTATACTTCCTCCCCCTTAGATCAATCCTAGCGAGTTCTAGATTGTCTACTGTTGATCTGAATCTGTTAATCATTGGCAGGTTAAGACGTGCGTTGTTTTTCTCTTGCACATTTAGGATTAAGTTGAAGTCTCCCAGCACTAGCCAGGCTGGTAGGCAAAGTGTGCGCAAATCCGTGATCTCCTAGAGAAACAAAAGTTTATCCGCGTCACTCTGTGGTCCGTAGACCCCGGTTATGGTCCAAGTCTTATTTTCTGCTAGCATCGTTATCGTTGCCGATACTGTGTGGGCGGTGAGGTGTGGTTGGCTTATGTTGAAAAAACGATCGGATGCAGCAATAAGTATTCCTCCACTGGCACCCATGGAAGGCAGAACGCTACGTTGTTCACCAATTCTGCCCCGATTGTCTCAACTAATAGACTACGTGTCCAGGTGCTGATTTTTGTTTCATGTAGACAAAAAATTGTAGCACCAGTAGATAATACTTGGTTTCAAACATATGCGCGCTTAGCCCCATCGTTCAAACCTCTCACATTCCAACACAGCCCGTTACAATTCATAGCTGACATAATGAGTAATTCTTACTACTTGCTCACGACTAAGAGTGGCCGAGGGCAACAGAGCCAGCAGACCGCAGTTCTCTCCCGAGGTCCAAAGAGCGCAGATGGGGAGGGCCGAAGGCAACAATGCCAGCAGGTCCCAGTTCTCTCCCCAAGTCTTGTTCATACATGTTTTCTGCCGAAGGCTCTAGGGCCAGCAGGCGCACAACCAGGATCGCCGAAGGCTCCATAGCCAGCAGGCGCACAACCAATACAACAAGGAGAAGGAAGGGGGACAGGATGGCCACACTACCAACAACTCCTTCATGAGTGAGCAATTCAATTTCTGTGACACTAGGGTAACTGGACCTGTAACAATGCCTCATGTTGTCAATTCTGATAATGCCTCTGCAGAGATATATGGCAGAACCTGAGGGGATGCAGGGCAAGGCCGCAAGCAGTGACTACTGTGGCATCACTCCAAGTGAGGAAACATCACCTCCTAATATTACTCCTAATGCTACTGATAGTTCTGCGTTTGAGGTTACTGCTAATTGCGTGTGTACAGACACAGGTACAACACCTAATACAGCTCCTATTTCATCTACAGAGCAGGAGGCAGGCAAGACAGCCGAGGAGGCACTAGCCGATCTGGGGATGGAACTCGGACACCTTCAGGACATCCTGGTGAGTCCCCCACCCCGGCCTGGGATGCATGATGAGTCTGTAATCATAGAACAACCTAGGCCATCCCTAAACGCCAATCACTCATCACCTGTGCAAAACCCAACCATAGAGAAAGAACTTCCGGTGGGAGATGAAAGTGATCACTGCACCTCATATAACCAACAGCTGGCTCCCATAGATGCTTTTCTGGAATCCATCTCCAAAGCCACTCCCCCAACCTTTGTTAACGCAAAGACCACGGCAGAATTTAATCAAAAATGGAGCCAGCCCACCTATCAAATGACAAAGTTCCCGCTTAGCGCAAAAGGCCATCGCCAACTCCGGAAAGGGGACGATTGAAATAGCACAAGATTTGTTAATTAAGAAACTGGGAGACCTTGCGGGTACTGATAACACAGGTGCTAACAAACCTCCATTACCTGAAAAATTTGACTTATATGCGCAACACTTTGCAAGGCCGATCGAGAAGACCATGATGGACGCCATCCAGGACCTCATCGAGCATGGTGCCTTGATCCAGAAGAAGAGTGGCAATCAGGGTGAGGCTGCCGCAGCACCAGGACTGGTGGCCTAGGCGCCAGACTTCAGTGGTGGTAGGGGGTTTTGGGTGGCGCGCCCATGTTATCTGCATGTAGTCGCTAGAGCCAAATGTGGCCTGAACTTTTTAAGATTTGGTTACTGTTGTTTGCACGCCTGCTGGCGAATTTAAAATCTGATCCCTCCAATTTCATTCCTGAAGTTTAATTAGATGCTCAAGTTAGAACATGTTTTGTTTCAGCTTTTACAGAATTATGCTAATCACAATGCGCAAGCCAGCAGCTAAAACAAACAATCCAACTGTGGAGCTATCATCTAAACATCCAAAAGGGTTAGCTTTTGAGAAGATGAAGTAAAAACTGAAAAGATAGCTGAAGGGCGTTTTTTTCAAGATTTTTTACACGGAGAAGCTAGAGATTTATTACCAAAGCAGTAAGACTGTCACATGTGCACATATAGTTAGAAGTAGGATGTTTATATCTAATGAAGCATGTACAATCTCTCTATTTATTCAATGTACTAATAAGTAAAGGTCGATCGGTCAATGAAGATGTACTACATGTTCCATGTTCCAGGTCGAGGACACAACTAGCTTTCTAGAGATAGGATAGGCCAGGACGACTACTTGAAGTAGGCCGAAATCTTCTGGACATCTTTACTGACGAGGCTAGTTTCTCCTCCTAAAATTTAGTCCATATCCTATCGGATGTTTGACACATGCATGAAGTATTAAATATAGACTAACAAAATAATTAATTGCACAGATTGCGACTAATTTACGAAACAAATTTTTTAAACATAATTAGTCTATAATTTGATAATATGGTGCTACAGTAAAGCTACCTGTAATTCTATCCCTCGGACTATATAAAGCGAGGTAGGAAAGCCCTAATCGATATGCAATCGAGTTTGTTGTGAAGAACGACGAAACCCTCTTTGTGACCCCAACTAACAATTCGACCAAAAAGGCAAACTCACAACTTGCTATGGACAACATTGCAAAGAGTAACTACCCTACTAACAAGTCACCAAGACACGCACCCTAGCATCCTCCTTATATAGGAGTGGGTGCAATCAAGTTGCTAATTTGGTTATGGGCATGTTTGGGACAGCGGTCGTGGACCGCGCGGTGCGGTATAGGAACCGCGAGGGTCGAGCCGCGGTACAAGAAACTCGCGGTGCAGTTCATTTTTGCGATTCCTCTGCCGTGTGCGGTGGAAACAATCATCGTGACCGTAGGCTGTTTGGCATGATTATTGGATTCTTTTTGCCGCCGCCGCAGGATACGCAGTCCCAGACACGCCCTATGTTCGGCCAAGTTGGCTCAGTGTATCTCACACGGGCAAATCGTTGTGTGAATTTGTTAGTTAACTTGTCAGTGTATACCAAAGTTATGTGGGACATATATAGCATCCTCCTTAGTTGTATCATGTCTGATTCCTACCTAAAAACTAGACCGAGTTTTCTTTTTAAAAAAATTTTCTCCTAAAAGTTTTGCAGCGGAGCTTTTACCGTACTTTTAGGGGGAAAAAAGATGATTTTCAAAGGACCAAAGCGATAGCAGGCAGTTTGTCACGCGCGAGAGTTCCCGGGGTCGTGCGCGCGGTGCGAGCATATCCACGCGGTGCCCGGCCGGTTTAATTTTCCCGTGCACCATCACGTGTAGGAGTAAGATCCCGGCGTCTTTTTTCAATAATATGTACGCCGATGATGGCGATGATCTGCTCGCTGTGAACTCCGGCGACGACTGACGCTAGAATTAATTTGTTTATGGCTCGCAGCTAGCACGCCACCGTGTCTCCGTTCCGCATCAGCCAGTTGACTGGCCGGACGGCGCATGAGAGAAGACGATCTGTCGATGATGACGATGACAAGCGCAGCAACAACTGCTGCTTGTTTGAACGTCCGCTTTAGCTGCTGTGCATTAAAAACAAGACACGACTTTGACTTTCAAAAGAAAATAAAAACTAAGGTAAAACTCTCTCGATCTCCCCGTGTGTACTTACTGGACTATATAAAATTATGGTCGGACACTCAACTTCACAATAGATGTTATCTATGTCTCTCTATTCTCAAAATATTATTTTTGGGTCTTTAAAATTTTGTTTCAACTCTCATTTAGGTCGTCCAAATGAAGCCTAACCTACTCTGTACGCTAACAAGACACACTAGCTATACATTACATATAGGGTCCACATGTCATGCCCACCTATCCCCTCTATTCCATGTCTCTAACATATGGGACCTATGTCAACATAATACATTTACATTATATTTTATTTTCTTCTCCCTTTCCGCCCTACCATTTTTCTCTCTCTATCTATGAGCATATATAATACAGTTGCGCTAGCCGAAGATGCCAACGTCCTCCCTATCGTCGAGCATCAGGATATATGGTGTGGTCAAGTGCATTACGGGCACGATGGGTCCGGGCATCCCCATGCTACAAGGAGGCAGAGGAGGAAGAAGCTAGGATAACAGTGGCGATGGGAAGGTGTTTGTGCCACTCGCGAATGAGATCAAGGCCATTGCGGCATTGCATATAGGTCAAGCGCCTTGACGGTGCGGTTGAACAAGTCGGCGATGAGGCGGTCAGGCAGGTGCCGCATGGCGTGTGATTCCCCGGAGCCAAAGGGCAAAAGACGCTAAACTCCTTGAGATAGAGGAGGCTCGCGGCGGCGACGAGGAGGACAAGGAGGTCAACAGTGCCAAGTACATATTGTACCATTCTTAAACCCGGATGAACAGGTATGACCACAAAAGAACCTAACCAGCTAAGCTTTTCACAGTTCATCTTGATAGTAAGTTATGATTGAACCACAACTAGAAAGAAAGACTCTAATCACATTACCAACAATAGTCATTGGATATATTCTACTTCCAAAATGTTACTAACCTATATCATTATGAAGAATACATAAAGTAAAATCCTAAATTAATTTATATACAAATTATTCATCTCTATTATTATAAAAGATAAATTAAAATAACATTAGGTTTACATCTAGTTACCCATATTTCCTAGTAACCCCTAAATTTACCTTAAATTACCCACAGATGTCATTATGCATGATAATATAAAAGCAACCACCTTTAATTTGTATCTACATTATCCACTTCTACTATTATAAAAATATAAAATATTTCTCAAATCTATATCTAAAATACCGATATAAACTATTATACAAAATAATTCAATAATCATAATAGTACAATATACTATGTTTCTAAGTTACATACTTCTACCGTTGTTAAATTAAAAATGTTATGTGCAAGTGCCACCGTATAGGCGAAGTAAACATGCATACATTTTGACTAAAACATTATTCTATATTAATAGTTTATAGATCATGAAAAAAAATATTCCTTTAACAAACTACACAACAATGACAATTCACATTTAATTATATTAATACTACTTTTGTAAGTTGTTATTTTAGATAAGTTTCTACATTTTGACTAAACATTATGATGTATTAATATTGATAATCTTTTTAGCACGCTGTGAGTTTATAAAAATATTACTACACGTATAATTTTTTGATATAGCTAATTAAACCCTATATCATAAATGTCATAGTCTCAGACCTAGAATTGATTTTTCTAATAAATTAAAAATAAAAAAATATAAAATAATCATTAGAGCTTCAACTTAGCATGTGGATAAATGGTTACATAACAAACAAGATCTAATAAGATCAAAGTTGAAAGCCAAAATATAGATTCCTGATGTGACATAAAGGGGTGTCAAAAGAGCTTACATAACTTAAGTTTAGGTTTTGACCAAATATAAATTTAAGACCCACAGACAACACATCTCGTAATACTAATTGGAGGTCCTCAAGAAGCCTCCACATCAAAGCTAGCATCACCGGCTCTTAGGCTCTCTTTTTTTTTTTAAGGAACAGGAGGGGCTTGCGCCCCTACTGAGATTTATTGAAAAAAAGAATAGAAACAAAACAAGAAGTTCAGAGCTCAAGTAGAGAGAGAAAAACAGCTTCATCTATGAATGGTAATGTAGCATAGAGCCGGAGCCTGTAGAAGCCATGTCAAAACAAGGCCTAATCCTCATAAGATGTGTTAGATAGAAATAAAAAACATAAATCCTAGAAAACATCACAATAATTAGAAACATCTAGAGTATAATTGGTAAATTTATTACTAATGAATAGAGGTTATAGAGTATTTAAATAGGTAATGCGTTAAAGATTGAATAGAGAGGAAGTAAAGATAATCCATTTTGTGAGGGATAAGTGCATATGCATAGCATGATCTGATGGATAGAGCAAAGTGACGATATATATATGGTAGAACCCCAAAAGGATGAAAATGTTATAACCTACGCCAAATTTGAATTCTACCTATAAGGAGCTAGTAGGCATGTCGTGGAAGGAACAAAATGTTAATAGGATAAAGGAGAACCAATAACGGTAAGGCTAGCATGAACAAAATTACATGAATGGTATGTTGGCCTCTTCAAACTAGCAGCGCAATTGAGTTGGGTCACCTTCAAAAATATAATGGCAAAGCAATAACTCAACGAGGAGGCAATTGGTGATCATCGTGCATGCACCTCATCACCTGTGTGGGAGTCTTTCTAATCATTTTGTTTACTAGAATTCCTGGAAGCCAAACCCTAGCTGATTTGTCTTGGTTCATATATACTTCCTAGCACTACTCTGCTCCTATATAGCATAGCATTAAATGAAATGAAGGAATAAATGGCGGGAAACCCCTATAGCTTCACGCATGCTTACACTAGAGAGATCGATAGAAAGTTAGGAACCTGTAAAGATCAACGTTCTGGCTTCTCCCCTGCAAAATCCTAATTCACCTCTTTTTTAGGTTGGGTATAAGAAACGGCAACCTCTCATTTTTAGCTTATCACATGTTTATATTATACTCCGTATTACGTACGTGCGTGCACATGGCAATCCATGCGCCACACGCGTCCCCGGGGGTCTCTGTTCTTTAACGATGACATGCACTTCCATTTCTGCTGTCAAGTCCATGTTGCTTATCCATGTGAATTGCATTGTTGTCGTTGGCAACATATTGAAACCTAAATGGCTACTATTTTCAGGTTTCAACTTCCCATACAAAATTATGTGATCAGTTATCAGAACACAAATGCACTCTGCCTTAAAATTGTTGCTACCTCCGTCCAAAAAAAATGCAATTGAAAAAAGGGATTCTAGTGTCAAACCAATAATCATCCCTTTTTTTAATTGTGTTTTTGGACGGAGGTACTAACAATTTTAAGATAAATTTACTACATAGTGGCACAGTACATTTAATTTTGTTCTACCTATGAACTGATCACGGTAATTTTGCTTATTACATTAACCATCTTGGGTAATGGATGCTTTCTCATCATCAGGCTGATGAGCTTAGTCTCCACAGAACAAGATCAATGAATGACTAATGCTGAATGTGGTCTTATTTTTTACTGCTTCCCATGTCCCAAATTATTATAGGTCAATAATTCAAGTTAGCTTGGTCTAAGTCAAATTTATCTAATTTTGAACTTTTTTTTCTAAAAAATACATGGAGATGTATAATATTAAACAAATGCACTATCAAGACATACTTTTTAGTGGAACTAATGAAAAACTAATTTGATGAAATATAAATGTTTGTGTATTTTTCTATAACCTTAGTATAAATTAGATAAGCTTCACTTTAATTTAGCCAAAGCCAAAGTTATGTATATGAGCATTGTCTTTTGCTAAAGAAAACAGGATGATTTTTTAGCCGCGTCAGCAGATTTTCCATCAACATGAAAGCTAACTCAATCAGCAGCCAAAATGAAAAAAAAAAAGAAGAAGGAAAAATAAAAAGTGCTGTACATACAAAGTGGGGGGTGGGGAGGCAGGAAGAAAGGAAAATGGAGGGCGTTGAAGCTGTCAAGTCAACGGTCAGCGCGGCGACATGTCATCCGCTGTGGAATGGAGTGGAAGCCGATCGATCGAACGCGGCTCCCCATCCCGTGTTACTGGTAGAGCTAGCCAAGAGGCCGGGTGGGAAAAAGCCGGTCTGCTGCTGCTGCTGCTGCTCCTCCGTCTCGTCCCGTCCATTTATTCGGCATGGTTGGTAGCTAGCTACTTCGCCCCGGGCCGGCCGGCCTCTACAAATACCCCTCCATCCCCTCCTCATTTTGTCAACTCCCTCACCACCAGTCCACCACCACACACGCGCCTTCTTCTCGATCTACTCCTCCAGCGCCTGCAAATTCAACGGAAGATCCATCGATCGATAGAGCTCATCAAAGTCTCAAACTTGTTGCATGGTGTGTGGCTGTGGCATAGACAGATAGACAGACTGGTAGATCATCACCGATAGATGGCGAGGTCATCCAAGAAGAAGTCGCAGCAGCTGAAGCAGAAGCCGGTGTCGGCGTGGCAGTTCCTCTTCTGCGGCTGCCTCGGCGGCGCCGCGGCGGGGAGCAGGCGGAACAAGGTCGACCCTCGGACGCCGAAGCACGGGCGGGCGCCGTCCCCCGCGCCGTCGTCGTTCCCGTCCCCGTCGCCGGCGGGGCTGCAGCACCAGCGTCTGTCGCTGACGGACGTGATGAGCACGGCGTCGGACCAGGACCTGTCGGTGTCGCTGGTGGGGTCGAACCTGCAGGTGTTCACGGTCGGGGAGCTCAAGTCCGCGACGCAGGGGTTCGTGGACAGCAACTTCCTGGGGGAAGGCGGCTTCGGCCCCGTGTACCGGGGCGCCGTCGCCGAGGGCGCCAAGCCGGGTCTCCGCGCGCAGCAGATCGCCGTCAAGCTGTGGGACCCCGAGGGCGCGCAGGGCCACAAGGAGTGGCTCTCCGAGGTCATCTTCCTCGGCCAGCTCCGGCACCGCAACCTCGTGAAGCTCGTCGGGTACTGCAGCGAGGAGGAGCACCGGCTGCTGGTGTACGAGTACATGCCCAAGGGAAGCCTTGACAACCACCTCTTCAAGAGTGAGTAGTTTTACTATTTGTCTACTGCATGCATGCCGGTTAATTAGCAATAACAGTACTTTATATAGCTACTGGTACTCGTTAAATTTATCATCATTTTGTTATTTATTTACGCATATATAAAAATAGCATCATAGTATATATTGTATATGAACAAATATATATCTAATTATTATTGGGGTCCGTTTGGTAGGGCTTCAGCTCCTCTAAAAACAGCTTTTGTTCTAACTCTTCTGAAGAGTAGATTTTCTTAGGGAGCTAAAGCTGTTTTTTTTTAGACCGTTTGGCGTAACAGCATCCCCGGGTAGCCAAAAAGCGTATAAAGTCTATAATACCCCTATTTTTTCATTTTTCTTTTCTTTTCTTCTCTTTTCTTTCCTTTTCTTTTCTTACGTTATCTGTTCCCCATGCCTATTTTTCTCCTCCGTACCCTCCCCTTCATTCTTTCTCTCTCCTCATCTTCCCCAACCGCTCGCCTCCCGCATCGCGCAGGCGTGAGAGTCGCAACCGCTTCGCCCTCGCACCCGGCCATCCTCGGAGATCCGGTGGTCCAGCAACCCCGCGCCCAGCGGCCCTGTGCGTGGCGCTCGGCTGCCCGGCGGCCTTGTGCTCGGGCACCCAACGGCCCCGCGCGACCCCGCACCCGGCGGCCACGCGTTCAAGCGCTCGGAGCTCCGACGAGCCATGCCTGGACGGCCACCCTGGCGACTGCGCGCGCGGCCGCCCTCCCCGCATGCGTTTCCCTGAGGTCGGGGGCAGACTCGACCTTCACGCGCTGGAGTCCGCTGGGGTCAGATGGGAGCAGGGAGAAGCTCCATTTTTTAGCTCTACCTGACACATTGCGTCTGTGAGATTGTGTTTTGCGAAGCTCCATGGGTGAATCGGTTGAGGAAAGTGGTGTTTGGCAGCGGGAGCCGCCTGTGAATCCATACCAAACGGCCCCTTAGTTGGCCATGCGTGCCATGTCAGCCGAGAATGGATTATATCACCGTGTATAGGCCGGCAAGCTGACAAACTAGCTAGGCTTATTTTTGGACCCACATGCATATATATACTATCACCTACTGTAAAATGATTAGAGACCAGCATACAGTATATCTCACTTAGTTGTACTGCACTGCTAGGTATATACTACATATGTCTACATAATGTACATGTACACAGCTTAATTACTACTGCTAGTAGACAGCAGCTCATTGCTTTTGACCACGTTGTTGCCAACAGGCCCCGTTCAGCTTACCTTAAAAGCCGATTTGTTCGGCTTCTTTTTTTCAGCCGAAACAGTGTTTTTTTTCACAATAATTCAGCTTTGACTTATTTATTCAGCCAATTTCAGCGGAGCAACCGGAGCCTAACGCGATGGGTGGATCCAGGCCAGTTCGTGCTAGCTAGCTATAGGTAGCTAGGTAGCTGTAGCTTTCTGGTTTCATCCATCCATATAGGATTGGATTGGATTGTGACCATGTGTGCACAACGTGCTCCAGCTAGCCCGCACTAACAAAACTTCAACTCATCATCAACTGATCGATCATGAATCGGATTAGCTGGTATAAACACCCAAAAAAGTAGAAAAAAAAACACCGTCTGAAAGAGAGCTAGGCCTAGAAAGGGAGACCAGTTGATATTGACCAAACTACCCAAGCTAGGTGGTTGACCAGTCTTACATGAGACCGTTGACTTTGTTAATAGTAATGTGTACTCCTAGTTGCCTTTGCGCCCTTGGTTTCCTTGCGGCGTTTAGTTTCTGGTTTGTAGAAAAAGATGAACACGCTCCGCTGCTCTAGTAGCCTGTAGTGGGCGGATGCATAACGGTGAATGAATATCAATCAAAGTTTGACACTTGTATGTACTACTAGCATGTATATTACGCTCCAATTTCTTTCGTGTCCGGCTAACTACTCTCTGCCGGCTCGATCCGATCGGGAAAGGGCAGCAAAACCGTGAGTCGTCAAGTCCACAACCACCTTTGTTGAAATGAGTTTCCACTCAATTCAACCATATGCAATATGTCTTGAGATCAGTGAACTTATTTATCGTGGATGCCAATATATATTTCTATAAGCTTGGTCAAAATTAGAAAATTCTAGCTTAAAATAGTCTGTGTATACATACAATCCACTAAATAATATATCAATGCACGCTTGCATTGAATTTGACCGCTATAAATAGTTTTTGGGTAGTTTCTGTATCTATACATGCTAGCCGCCGCACGGGGGACATGGCAGTTGACAAGCAATATAATGGATTAATCATATGTAGTATTTGTTAATGCTGAATGGTGCGTGACTGTCTCTCTAACTGATCCGATCCATGCCAGTACATTTGTAGTATAGTCACCGTACCAATAATGCAAAATAATTAAATAAAAAAAAAAAAAAAAAAAAAGATTATACTGCATCATCTTGCTTGTAGCATTCATGTTAGTTCATTGAAATTGTTTATTATACACATGTGATACAATTACAATCTAATGATCTTGGTTCCTTGTTAATTGATGCATGTTGCAGAGTTCCCGCCCGTTCTGTCGTGGGCGACGCGTCTCAACATCGCGGTGGGCGCCGCCAAGGGCCTCGCCTTCCTTCACGACGCCGAGAAACCCGTCATCTACCGCGACTTCAAGACATCCAACATCTTGCTCGACCCCGTACGTACAGTAATACATACACACTGTACTAGTAGTATATAATATTCACCAAATACAACTGTAATTTATTTAATCTCTTCTCTTCACAAGAAATTTCTTCATCAGACAACCAACTTTTTAAAAAAATAAAAACTAGGAAAAAGTTGTACCCTAGTTCTAACACTGACGTACGACAGGAGTAGGTTGACTTGGCATGAATCAAACGCAATAAACTTCAAAGTTCAAACTGAACCTTTAAGTTGATGCGTGCCAGACGGCGGCCAGTAGTTACGTTGAGTCGTTGACTTGGTATTCAAATCGTTCCTAGTACTAGTAAACCCTTTTTTATTACCATCGCCGCTGCACTAGTACTATACTACTCTTTTCAACTGCGGCGGCGGCGGCGGCCACAAGTGGCTGTGGGAGGGCTGACAAAATCACAGCCCTCTTTTCTCTCCTTCCCACCCGCACAATTGATCATCATCCGATGATATGCTTCCTTTTCTCATCCTTTCATACTACATTTTTGTTCCTGCAAAAAACAAAAAAAAAGAAAAGAAAATGAAAAGGGAAACCCAAGGAGAGTAGGCAAAAGAGACAAGGATGGTTCGAGACACTCCTTTTTGAATTTCGGCTCCTCCGGTGTTGTTCAAAATGTGGAGCTGGTTGGCTAGAATTTGCTCCTCATACTTTAATTAATTTCTTCATTCAAAGGCAACTCGTCTTCAGGTATCACAGCTTTATTCAAAAATGAACAGTAAAGGCGCATTGCATTATGGGCTAGCTGCAGCCCAGCAACACTTTTGGAGTTACAATCCACTGGAGTACTGGACCATTGACCTGGTAGTTGGGTCTAAAAATGGGCCGTAATGCTCTACAGATGGCTAACAATTGAGTTGGAAATTCTGCAGGAGTACGAGGCGAAGCTGTCGGACTTCGGGCTGGCGAAGGACGGGCCGGAGGGGGACGACACCCACGTGTCGACCCGGGTGATGGGCACCCACGGGTACGCGGCCCCCGAGTACATCCTGACGGGCCACCTCACGGCCAAGAGCGACGTGTACAGCTTCGGCGTGGTGCTGCTGGAGATCCTGTCGGGGCGCCGCGCCGTGGACAAGGCCCGCCCCAGCCGGGAGCAGCACCTGGTGGAGCACATGCGCGGGTGGCTCAAGGACCCGCAGAAGCTGCCCCGCGTCATGGACCCGGCCCTGGAGGGGAAGTACCCCGCCGCCGCCGCGCACAGGGCGGCGCTGGTGGCGTACCAGTGCCTGAGCGGCAGCCCCAAGAACCGGCCGGACATGTCCCGCGTCGTCCAGGACCTGGAGCCGCTGCTCACGGCCACCGACGAGCCGGCCGCGGCGTGCGTGGACGAGGCCAGGAAGGAGGGGACGACAAGGAGAAGCGACGGCGGCGACCGGAGAGACAAGGCGCGGCGGCACGAGAAAGCGGCGGCGGCCAGGTCGCCGAACCCGGAGAGGGCCGTCAGGAGGCGGGCTCCCGGCCAGAGCGAGGAGTTCTGGGAGTGGCACATGCCTACTGCTGCGGCTGGACAGGGAAAAGCGTAGCAGGGTAGTGTGGCGCGACCTAACTATAGGGTTTTTTTTAACAGTGCTTGTTGCTGCTCTTGTATAAAGAGAGAGAGAGAAAACAAGAGAGGGTTGGTATAATTGTAGATGATACAACTCTTCTCTGCACTGCCTTTGTTCAGGGTTGCACTTGCACTGTACCCCTGCTGTAAGCCTGTAATTCCTTTGTTTCTTTCCAGTTAATTTCTACTACTATTGGCTTGGCCCCTCTCTGCCCCCCTCTCTGTTTTTTTACTCCATCCTCTTCACTATTTTTAGTTTAGTTTTACACTGTTACATGAGAGAGTTAGAGATCCTCCAAACCATTGCTAGTACTCTCTTCGTCAATTCTAAGGGCTTCAGCCAGCTCTAGCTCCAGCCACTGTGGTGCCATTGTAGCGGAGCCGATGGAGCCTCAAAACCATGGCTTCGCGCCGTTCTGTGAAAGGAGCCGGAGCCTTTTTCTTTCTAGCTACAGTATCATACGGTACAAAACAATAATAGCCACACACACAGGAGCCGGAGCCCTTGGGAGCCGAAACAAACAGGCCCTAACTTAGCTTCGTTTGGCATGGCCAGGCTTTTATGGGCTCCGGCTCAGGCTCTAAATACACTATCTCGCGAGTAATGAGCACTAAAATGACTAGGGCCTTGTTTAGATTGAAAAAAATTTCAACCCGATGAATAGTAGCATTTTCGTTTTATTTGGTAAATATTGTCTAATTGTGGACCAACTAAGCTCAAAAGATTCATCTCGTAATTTCTAACTAAACTGTGCAATTAGTTATTTTTTTTATTTATATTTAATGAGCACTAAAAAAATAGAGAGAGAGTGAAAAACTGGAAGCTTCGCACGTAGTAGGTTGCTGGTTTTTTTTTTTTTGGAGCTTCTCTTAGTCCTGCTAATCTGCTATAATAGTATTATAATTGAAAAGCTATAGTAAACTAGCTTTTAATTTAATACTCAAATAAAACACTTTGAGTTTGGTCAAATTTATGTTGAAAAATTATATGTATTCTAATACCAAATAAGTGTCAATGAATTCGACATGATGTATATTTTTGTAGTATAACTTTACATCATAAATTTAGATAAACTTTAAATCGTTTAATAAAAATATTATAAATAAGTGATCAAATAACTTGACGTGCATGCAAGGAAAAGCAAAGTACAGAGGCCCATGCATATATGATGGATGCGATTGCACAGTGCCTGGCACTTGTCTTGTTTTTGTTGTTGCAGTGCAGTGGGTGCTAGATAGGGGGAGCTTTTTAGACAGTCTGGGACAAACGGTGAGCAGTGGTGCAGCTGCCCCCACTTGGTTACTTATGCAGTTTAATTCAGTGGTGACGGACATAAAGTCCAATTACCTGGGCCCAAATCTGAGACGCGCTAGAAAACACATGACTTTCAATTCCTAGTTGCAAAAAGAATTTTTAGTATTAGGACCTTGGATTTCAACTGCACGCACTTTGGTCTTTGCATCATCTACGTACAAACTTGCATTGAGAGGACAAGTCAAAATTTAATTTTGTCTTTTAAAAAGGCAAATAAAGTTGCAAATTAAAACTAATTTCGATTCCTACCAATAAGCTTTTATCAGTGTATATTTTAAAGTACGGTAGTTTTTCCATCCATCCCTCGCTTCCATTCATTTTAATCTGTCACTCTATCACATCCTTCTGTCCTCGGCGTCTCTCTCTCTCACTTCCTCATTTTTTTATGGCCAGTATAGACCCACAACGTGAGTGCGAGATCCAGAAGAGATATATAGACTTTATCCTCCAACAGAGCAAACAGACCAACATGACGTTGGTGATAATTTTTAGAGCTGTAAAACTTTCACTAGCATCTCGACATGCATGCATGCAGGTGTATGACTCACGTTCCACCTTTCTTAACCTGCAACGGATATACTACACAATTGACACCTAAAAGCGAGTCAAATTTTTATGTGAGATTAACCTTCTATTGCACCTGGCATTTATTTTGGTCATTATAATTTATTTTATTTAATTGAAATAAGGTTAGGTCGAGCCTAAGCTCGACTAAACCTAACAAAGCTATCTAGCTTATTGTCATTGGCATGATCGAGCGGATCTAGGTAAAGCCTGTGGGAAGCTAGTTTCCACCATGATGACATCGTTCAGACTCGACATCTTCAACTTGAAGTAGGTGTAGTTGCATTGGGCACGGCCATGAATTTCGCATACAATATAATATCTACCCCAAGATGGCGTGGTAGGTGTCCAGAAAATACGTGCAACCCGATACATCAAGGTCTCAATGCAGACGTAGGCCCGTGCGCCGAAGGTGACGGGCAAGTCTATCTGCCCGAGCATGACAACTTGCTTGTCGGGGACGACCCTGTGAAACAACGCCCTATGGGGTCTGAGGCATGAGCGCGAAATGTTTGGCAATAATGTTTGTTGCTAGAAGAATAGCTGCAATCTCAGCTTCAATTACATATAGTGAGCTTGACACCATCTGATCGAGAGTTCATAGTCTACCCCGAAGGGATTACAATGAATACCCCAATCCCCACATTTTTTGGAGTGTTTCTGGAGCCACCGGGTTCTAGGGCAGCGTCCATATAGCATTTTGCACCTGTGAGAGATATAGGGAAAGTTACCTAGTGGTCTTATGTCATTGCGTGCTGTCATTGGTCTCCTGGTATCAAGCTGGTGGTTATCTGTTCTTCATCGATCTTCATGTAAAATGTACACGTGGATGTATACATGTCTGCATTAGTTTCAAGGTGGACCCTTTTAATGGTCCACTTTTTATTATTAAACCTTAAGTCATTTATAGATTTCCAAGTATACCATCCACAAAGTGGTGAGAAGCTTTTTGCATTGTTATATAGCTCATTAGAACAAGAGTCATGAAGGATAAGGGACAAGGAAATTAAAATTGTGTACACCATTTGCTTCCATGTATATATAGGAAGGAGGTCAGGTCAGTTCTAAGAGGAGGATCTAAACTAAATCATACTGCTCTGGCAAAGTCGCAACCAAAGGGAATTGTGTACACCATTTGCTTCCTTGAGTTGAGAGTCACTTGCATCTAGCTATGGATCTAGAGAGAGATACCTGTAGGCTTCTTTGGTGGTGCAGCTCCGATCCCTTTTTTCGCTAATTAAGTACGTGTGACTGAATGAGCTAAGGCCATGGATTTGCCTGTTACCAAGATTTCCCGGCTGCTAGCATTAGCCTCCGAAGCGAAGCAGATGGCAAGAGAGAAGAATTCTGGACGCGAGACGTTTAGGCCCCGTTCGCTGGTATGAAACTTGGCTGAAACTGGCTGAAAACACTGTTCCGGCTGAATTATTGTGAGAAAAAACACTGTTCCGACTAAAAAAAAAAGCCGAACAAGTCAAAAATGGGATAAGCCGAACAGGACCTTAGAGCAGATGAGACACGAAATGGTGAGAGGCTGGTGGCGGTGTCCTATGGCCGCACCCACATTCCATTCAGCATTTGATCGATCGATGTCCTCTATCTCTTGTTGGATCTCTCTCTCAATCATATCTCTGGCAAAGTGGCAAGCAAGCAGAGCAGTGGGCGGACGGACGGGGCACTGCACTGCATGAGCGCGTGCATGTTGAGCCCTCCTATTCTGCATGTGCCGACCAGCGACGCCTACACTGGGGTCGGGTCACTAGCGCAGGTAGTAGCGGTCCCGTGGTCACGTTGACGTGACGTAACGTAGTAACGAACCAACGACCCCCCGCCCGCGTACGGCGTACGGCAGTCGGCAGGCTTAGAGGACATGAGAGGAGAGCCACAGCCCTTTATTTTTTTTATAGGCTCCAGGGACCTCTCATCCTAGCTAGCCCGTATCACTGTTCCATCACTGCCAAGCATACATAGGCCACGCTCGACTACTCGCCGCCGCACCCAACGCTAGAACCTAATAATCCTGCTACGGCTACTGTTTCTTTCGATGGCTTTTGCCGTCTCCTTTCCTTTCCTCGTCAAACAACATCGGTCGCTTGGGGCATGTTCAAGCAAAGAGTGGTCGATAAAAAGACATATAGTATAATAATGTACTAACTATTAATTTTATTGTCTACAAATCGTTTAATACTCTGCATATAGTCAAGAACAATCATGGATATCATTTTATATACCATTGCGTTGCTATCTGATAGAAAACAAACCAAACATAAATAAGATGAACGTGGTTATAATATTATTTTTTTAAAAAAACCACCAATATAAATCATATATTACATATATAATTGCAACATTTTTGTCCAGTCATATCAAAGACACTACGGGAAACAGGGCCTTTGCCGAGTGCAACTTTCTTTGCCGAGGGCTAAAAGTCGGGCACTGGGCAAAGAGCTATTTTGCCGAGTGCCGCACTCGGCAACGATGTACACTCGGCAAACCTTCTCAAGTACTGTAATATCGTGACATCTCGAGATGTCCTGGTACTGTAATTAAATGAAATAAATTAACTAAATATAGCAAACAGTTCGGGAAATGTACCAAATTTCGACATGGAGTACCAAGTACTATAAGAGGACTACAGAAAAAGTTTGGAGGTCAAAATACAAAAAAAAAAATTGGTTTGCCGAGTGTCATCTTTTGACACTCGGCAAACATGCTCTTTGCCGAGTGCCAGCTACCAGGCACTCGGCAAAGAGCGTCAATTTTTTTTTAAAAATGTTTGCCGAGTGCCTCTCCACGCCCGGCACTCGGCAAAGTGGTATTTTTAAAAAAATGATGCAGTGCGGTTTAGGGTTTAGATTTCAAAAAAAAAAAGGAAAACATGTTTGCCGAGTGCCCCGATCTGGCACTCGGCAAACCTTCCTCCTTTGCCAAGTGCCAGATCGGGGCACTCGGCAAACGGCCCATCCACTTAGACAAACCGGCCTCCCTCCCTCCCCACGACACACACACACGCTGCCGCCGCCTGGCCGCCTGCTTGGCTGCATGCGCCCGCTTGCCCCGCCCGCCAAGACGCCAGACACAGACGACGCTACCACTCG